TTTGTATTAAAAGTTTGTTGGATTTAACATTTTCCTTGACCAGTGAGTCTATTTTCCTCTATTGTATCTTCAACACCTAAGATTCTCTTTCTGTCTGTTGTATTCTGTTGGTTATGCTTACATCTGTAGTTCCTGATTGTTGACCCAGGTTTTCCATTTTCAGAATTCCCTTGGTTTGTGTTTTCTTTATTGCATCTATTTCAATTTTCAAGTCTTAAACTGTTTGAACTGTTTGCTTAATCTCTTTGGTTGTTTTTTTCTTGGTTTTCTTGAGTTTCTTTAAGAGATTTACTGATTTCTTCCAATTTTTTGCTTGTTTTTTTCCCCCCTCCATTTCTTTAAGGGAATTTTTCATTTCATCTTTAAGGCACTTTATCAGTTTCATAAAGTTATTTTTAAAGTCATTTTCTTCTGCTTCATCTGAACTGGGATGTTCAGGTCTTACTTACGTAGAACCACCAGTTTCTGATGGTGCCATATTGCTCTTTATGTTGTTAAATGTGTTTTTACACTGCTGTCTGCCCATCTCTTCCTTCAGCGGGTGACGGTGGGAGTCTATGCTTCAGGGGGTCCCTCTTATTCCAGGGGCAGGCAGGTCTATGCCTCTGGTGAACTCCGGTACTGGGTTTAGGTGGGGCCAAGGCTCAGGTGGTTGCAGATGTTGTGGGGGTGGTTGAGGTGTGAGGAGGGTGCTCTCAGGTCACTGGGGTTCTGGTAGATGGGAGTGGGGCATGAGATAGGCTTCAGGGACTATGGTCTAGAGAGCGGGGCCCTCCAGCCACTCATCTTGTCTTAAAGATGTTCTTACTGGTTATTTGTAGGACCCCTTAATTTCGGCCTCATTTATGTTTTCCTCTGAAATAAACTGCATTATGGGCTTGGGGTAGTCACGTAATACCTTGACTACACGGCCAAACCTATCATCACTATCATCAATGGTGAAGAGAGGGCAGCAAATACCTTCATAAGAGGAACTCTGAAACCTGTAATTTCAAGAAGAAAAACTCATGCCAATGCATTATTCACTATGAATCTGTGATATATATATATATATATATATATATATATCTGTGAGATAGATGATAGATAGATAGATAGATAGATAGATAGATAGATAGATCGATCGATCGTAGATAGACAGGACAGACAGACAGACAGACAGACAGACAGACAGATAGATAGATAGATAGATAGATAGATAGATACATGGTAACAAAGAGATATAGAAAACATGAGACATTTTCTTACTATGGAAATAAGATCTCCCTATTTCCACTTTTGAGTATTTGAGACTTTAGTGTAGAAATTGTCATTATTTGCTGTCATTACTAATGTCAACAATGTGAATGAGTTAGCAGACATCAAGATTATATTCATTGTTTCTGTTTTTCAACTAGATATAAAAATATTCAATTTTTTTTGGAAAAGGTAAAGCTCCCTTGCCCATCATCCCTTTCAAGATTTTAAGGGTGCTGCAAGCAAAGTAAAGCATTAATTTGGGCCATGAATAAATAACATAATAAAAAGAACATATTCACTGCAGAAAATCCCAAAGAAAAACAAATCAGTAGACAATTCTGTTATTTATAAAAATGGTTACCCTAATATAAACAACATTATTTTAATTATATTCTGGTTATTTATAAAACTTATACTTAGATATAAAAATATTCAGAGTTTCATGACTGCCTTGTAAATAAGAAAAGAGTGTCAGCATCTTAATCTAGGTGGTGCACATCTGGGAGAGAGCTTTAGGAAACACAGTGCCCATGTTAGAGAACTTTCGTCGGAGTCTATCCAGGGAGTGGATGTTTTAGGGAATGAGGCCCACCTTCCACTAGCTGATGAGTAGGGAAGTAAATCTCACAATGACCAAGTGAATTCTAGGTTTAAAACTGCACATCAGTGTATACACAGAGTGCCTTTACGCGCAATCCACACACACCAGTTGATGGTGGTGCATACCTTTAATACCAGCACTCGGGAGGCAGAAGCAAGCAGATCTCTGTGAGCTCGAGGCCAGCCTGGTCTACAGAGTGAGTTCCAGGGCTACACAGAGAAACCCTGTCTTGAAAAACCAAAAACAGCAACAGCAGCAACAAAAATAAGTATAGCTAATATCTCTTAAATCACACATTAAACTAAAGGAAATGGGTAAATTAAAGCCTGAAACAAAAATTTTGTAACAAATCATCTCTGAATAATTATTACTTTAAACCTTGATTACCAAAAAGAGAGAGTTTTTAAATTTAATTTAATTTAATGTATACTGGTGGTTTTGCCTGCCTATGTGTCTGTGTGAAGGTGGCTGAACTCCTGGAGTTGCAGTTTACAGACAATTGTAAGCTGCCATGTGGGTGCTGGAAATTGAACTCAGGTCCCCTGGAAAGTGGCCAATGATCTTAATTGCTGAGCCATTTCTCCAGCCCCCAAAGCGTTTTGTTTTGTTTGTTTGAGTAAAGTAGGCATCAGGTAACAATAATGTTAGCAAAAATGAAAATTTGAAAAGTAAAGCATTGTTTATCTATAAAAGTCATACTTGAAAATATAATTAAGGCCAGGCCTGAAAAAAAAATTCTCCTTAAGCCAAAAAGAAAAGCACTGAGTAGTCTCACATATGAATACAAAATATATTGATCTGAGCTGGGAATGGTTGTATATGATTATAATTCCAATTCTTGGGAATCTGAGCCAGTGGATCACTGTATCAATGCCAGCCTAACACACACACACACACACACACACACACACACGGAGAGAGAGAGAGAGACAGACAGACAGACAGACAGACAGACACAAAGGATGTGATTAAAGATGAGTGTGGGAGGCTACCAGGGGCTGGGAAGAGTAGCAGGGAGGTAAGGATAGGTGAAGGTTGAGAAACGGACTACATTGGAATTACAGTGGTATCAGAAACTCTAGTGTATGGTAACAGAGTATAACAACCACAGATAGGTACTGTGTATTCAGAACTCTCAAAACCAAAAAGAGGACTTGGAATATTTTCACCATAAGGAAGTGATGAAAGTTAAAGCAATAAATATGTTTGACCCATTTACACACTGTAGATATACATGGAAACAATATCCAGTACCTCATTCATAAACACAGTTTTTGTTTGTTAGCTTAAAAATATTTTAATTTAGAATGATCTCATAGGTGTCTGTCCTGAGCTGACAATGTAGTTCAGCAGTAGAGGGCTTGCCTGGTGTGCACAAGTATTGCCAGCACCGAAAAATTTATAAATAAATAAAAAAAATGCTTTTCCTGAGCACGATAATTCAGTAGACCAAGCCAATACATGAGCTACGGAGACCTATTAGTGGCAGATTAGTTATTAGCAGGTGAGTTACCGATATTATGAGAGTCTTAATCTCTGTTGCTGTAGCGTGTGGAGAAGAATTTTATTAGAACAAATTGCTGTCTTTAACCACAACTGTATGTAATAACTAGAATACATACACACATATATGTATGTATACACAACGGACTCTTATGTGGTATATAAACAAGTTCACTTAAAATCCCATCCTACAACTATTTTTGTTTTATTGTGAACTATTTACGGGGCCAGTGAGATGGCTCATTGGTTAGTGTTATTGCGCAATCCTGAAGACCTGAGGTCCACCCCCAGGATCCATGTTAATGTGGAAGAAGACAGCCACGTCCACAAAGTTGACCTCTGACATCCACGTGCAAGCTATGCCCACAGATGTGCACTGTATGCACATAACACATAAATAACAACAATGATAATAAGAATAAATTTTAAAACACTCCTTAATTAAATGTCAAGCAAGTTAAACAACAAAAGTAAGGATGGCACCGGACGATAATATGATGATGACACCCTCTCTGGTAGAGCGTCACTTAGAGAGTTATATCCATTGCTTTCATGTATTTCTTTGTGTTTGTTTGTTTACTTGCTTTTGAGACAGGGTCACCCTGTGTAGCTCAAGCTGTCCTGGAACTCACTATGTAGACCAGACTGGCCTTGAACTTACAGAGATCTGCCTGTCTCTGTCTCCCCATACTGGGAATGAGGATATATACCAATACACGCAGTTTTGGTTTTTATATATTACTTAATAGGAGTCTAGCCTTGCAAACTGGAAGCCAGGAACAAAAATAAGAAATAGTAAATATCTAGTTTCCAGCAAAACATGTACTGTTTTGATAGTTAAAGACATTTTATTGGTTTATTTCCCTAAAGTCTATTTGTCCCTCTGACATGGATATAAGATTTGGTGACAAATAATTCTATTTTATGTCATTTAGAAAGAAAAGAGGCTAAATGCATGCTTTGTCTGGAAATTATTTTACTATCATTCTTCATCAAATTATACCAAAAAATGAAGCTATAGGAAATAATTTTAAAAATATTTTTTAGGGCAGAGACATAGTAGACGGACATAGAGAGGGACAGAGCCTGTACTCCTTAGAAAGGAAACTGCTTTAAGACTTGACAGACTTTCCTTCTACGTCTGCTTTTTATTTTTAAACACTACCAGTGACCTCTTTGCTGACCAACATATTCGTGCAAACCATAGCCAAGGAGGGAGGGGCAGGAGCAGAGAAGAAGCTGGGTGAAAGTTGTTGATGGCCTCTGCCAAAATTCCGAGTTGAAATTGAATACGGCGAAGTTTCTTAAGATGGAAAGAAAGCAAAGATTTACAGCTTCAATAGAACTGTAATTCTACTAAGAAAAAGGTATGTCCACCTGCTGTCTCCAAACCAGCCACGGCTGGCTTCGCCAGGCATCTTTCTCCTTTATATATGGAGGTGGAGAAAAAAAAAAAAAAAAAAGCAAGAGGCGTTCAAAAAACTTGAGGAAGCCCTGACCCTTTAGATTCCATTTATAGTCTGAGCCGGAATGCCACCCCCCGGGACAACTGAACTGTCCAATCCAGCCGCGTGTGTCAAGGTTCTGTTAGGCACTAAGTGAAATATATATGCATGCCCTTATACCATTCAACACTCTGGGTCCAACCTCCAGACGCTGGGCTGCAGGTCAAGAGAGCCGCCACAGCTCTTCCAAGTGTCTCTTTGACAGGTTCTCTTGGAGGAGATCTTTCTTTTGTTAACCCATCCTTTTAATCAAAATGGCACCAAAGAAAGACGTGAAGAAGCCTGCTGCTGCTGCTGCCCCTGCCCCAGCCCCGGCCCCGGCCCCAGCCCCAGCCAAACCTAAAGAAGAAAAAATCGACCTGTCTGCTATTAAGGTAACTAAACAGGTGAATCGGTTTGGTCACTGAAACATCTCTCAGCACTAAGGAACTCAAGGAGTTTGTGAAGAGGTGTATTTTTCATTGAAAGGAATGGCATTGAACTGGTGTTTTAGATGCCAGGAACCCTGCTTAAAAACATGGGTTTCAGCATACAATTCCAGTGACGTTTTTAAGACTGGGGACTACAAGTGAGGTTTTTGTTTGCTCTTTTCTCGTTGATCAGTATTTGCTGATTCTGTTTTCCACTTCCCCCTAATTTGTCAAAGTGCAATTTAGGGGGAGATATGCCCATCTAAAGATTTCACATTTACAAATATTTAAGAAGTGCATTTTTAAAATAAAATCTCCGTGGAAATTGGATCCCTGATTCTAAAACTACATCATTAAAAAAAAAAAAAAAGGTTTTAGCCTCTGCTTGTTTCCAGAAAGTTGAAGACAGCTGATAACCCAGCTGTCTTGGACACATCTATTTGACAGCTGTTTCATTTCATCTGAAAAATAAATTTGCAATTCAAGTTAATTTCCTCTTCAACTTGCTTAATAAAATTTCATACACCACTTGGTGCAATCTCAGTGCAGAAAACCACACACTCGAGTGCTTCAGTGACTATAACTATCATCATGTTTATATGTATACAGCACTTAATTCAGATTTGTGAATATATATTACGTACATAATATATGTATTTATATATTCTGTCATTTCTATAGCTGTTAGTGTGTGTTGAGCCTTTTACATACTGATCTTGAACTAAGGCCAGAATGTGGTGTGTGTGTGTGTGTGTATGTGTGTGTGAACACTTTTCTATGAACCAAGTTTTCAGCTTCAAAAAAGATTATTTTGGAAAATGACGAATGAATGTCCTTGCTACCTCTCAGCGACACATCAGATATCCACCTCTCCTCATTAACTGGGCTTAGATTAGTCCTCAGGGCAGATTGAAAATCTTCATCTAAGGAACCCAGCCTTATATGGAAAAGGACGGAGTCAAAGTGCTTATGAGGTGATCCTTCCATCCAAGCCAAGGGTGCTGTGTGTAGTACATCTGATGTCTCAATCTTGACACTGTATGAGAAAGTTACAACGCTGACTTACCCACAAACATTACATTGAGTATGTTAATATAATCATGGAGCCTTTAAAAAAAGTCCCTAAAATAATATTGAATCAGAACTCACATGCACTTATGTGATGAAACCAAATATAGTCATAATTTTTGTAACTTTCAGCTAAATATGAAATGAGACATGTTCCAAAGAGGCAAACATGCTATGGCAAATGTCTAATCTTTATTTGCACCTGAAGTTACATTTGAGAAAACTTGGTCGTAGGATAGAACTTTACTGATGAATTCCAGTTAAAAAAAACTGCATGTTGGATCTTCTGGAATTTTTTTTTTTTAGGACGAGATGCTTATAGTTAATTAAAAAGAAACCAAATCTTTCATCTTTGGTGATCTTAGCTGATGTCTTTACAGATGCAGGCTGACGATTACAGCCGCCACTGTCCTTCCTGGTTCTCCAATGTGCACTCTTTAACGACTTTAGAACTTTAAGTCAGTGTTGAGGCCGTTCTTTTTATATTTGTTGTGATTTATGAGACAATATCATCCCTGTTCCTGAGATAGACTTCCGGAAGAAAAGAGAATGTGCCTCTTTAAAAAAAAATACCAGAAGTGTCCCACTAATGAAAGCACGCTTTGATTTTGTCCCAGAGGAACTGTGTGTCAAAAAGTAAGTGAATACGCTCTGTTAACATCAGTTTTTTAATCCAGAAATTAAGCAAATCTCTTGTTCCAGCCGCAGAGGAGGAGCGCTTCCCTGAATTGTGACACCGCCTTAGCCTCCCATCCTTGTTTTAAATTAATGCTGGTATGAGCAAGAAAAACTGAAGAAGTTTAAGAGTTGTACAAATTCAGTGTGCTCCACCATTGCCAAGCAAGACACAGGGTAGACTGTGAGAAGGAAAACAAATAGAACAGAAGTCAAATGAACATTTATTTATTTATTTATTTATTTATTTATTTATTTATGTATTTATTTATTTATAGACAGGTTTCTCTGTAGCTTTGGAGCCTGTCCTGGAACTAGCTCTGTAGACCAGGCTGGCCTTGAACTCACAGAGACCCACCTGTCACCTCTGCCTCCCGAGTGCTGGGATTAAAGGCGTGGGCCACCACTGCTCGGCTTCAAACAAATCTTGAAGAAATGGAGAGAAATTAACCTTTTGTTTCCTTCAGAAGAACCCTCCCTAATGGACGGGGACAGTAAGGAAGAAACCGAAGCCATCTCATTTGTGGAAAGGAGTGTCAATTCCTTTGATGATTTCCCCTCATCAGAATGAAATCAGTACATATTTGGAAGGGTTTTAGCAATGCCAGAGACTATGATGCAACTTGGGAGCTTTATAAAATTTCATTTTATCCCAGCAGATAACAGGTTAATTAGAAAGTATGTTACAGAGTTTCCTATTATGATGCTTTTAATCATTTGATGTTTTTAGATATATTTTCTCATGTAAGTTATAAATTTTTTTCAAGCAGAGAAAATGAATATATCTATATACATATTCATTAACTTTCTGAAAACTGTATAAAGGCCTAAACTTAATTGGATTATAGGATTTATTTCATAAACCTTATAAGATTAGAAATCTATCTTTTAAACTGCGGGTAATGCTGAAGTGTACTTATATATAGGACACAACAATCATTAAATTCATTCCTCAATACTTTGCCCAGCTAAGACCATGGTCCATTTTAAAATACCCATATTTGACTCACCATAAACTCTGAACAATCTTGGATATTTCTGATTAGTTTGCTTAAACGTGCTTTTCTGATTTGATTTCCCAGCCTGTTAGCTCTTTATTTAGAATGTTTGTTCAGTTGCTCTGACATAAAGCCTTCGGGAGTCTCTGTGCCCATACACATTCCTGTGAGCAGCGTTTTCACAAAGTTCCACTGGCGTGTGAACACCAGTACTACCGTTCTTGGTAGTTCTCAGCGCTCTCTGCCTTCAGAGAGCTGCTGCCTCCAGTGACAGAGCCCCGTCCTAGAATGACGCTGCCTCCCAGGATCACATCTGTAGGGCTCGAAACCCGCCACTATGATTCTGGGTGCAAATGAAGGAGTGAATATTGGTTGCAACCAAGCAAAATGGTGGAAATAAATGCCCGAGGGGATAACCGCGTGCCTGGATCTTAAGAGATTTTAAATATGAAAGTGGTTTTATTTTATTTATTATTTTTTTTTGTTTTGTTTTGCATGGTGCATGCTTTGGCTGGTAAGCCAAGATTGCTGTGAGTTGAGACTCACGCGTTGCTCACATTTTAATTCGCATTGTATCCATGCCCCAGTCTGGTCATTCAATCCTGACTGGATACTGCAGCGGTGTTACAAAACCAGTAGTGGTAAAGAATGCATTGACAGAAACTCTGCCAAACAACACATCTCCAAACAGTAACCGAACACAGTCGCAGAAAGACTGAAATGTTAGATTTAGCGAGGAACTTGGATGTATGCTGTTCCCAAACATGTGTATTTCCTGAATGTTCAGTGAGGGCACATTGTATATCGTGCATGAGGTCCAGGGTGTAGATTTATTTTGGCTCAGACATGGGAACTTTTTGGGATCACCTGTATTTATTTTCTTTCATTTCTAGCAAGGCTAAAATAAACCCAATTCCATTCAAGGAATTTCTGGACATGTTTGAAAACAGGTTCCATAAAAGACTGAATATCATAAGCCCCACTGTCATAATAGCACTCAACATCCATTGTGATTTTATCCTGGATTGTTTTCACATTTAGCTTTTCCAACGTTATAAAGACTGTTTTATCTATTCCCATGGAGGAAACTGAACTTACTCGAGGCCCATCATCAAATAACTAGCTAAGCGGAAGGTAAGAGACTTCACCAGCAGGGCAAATCCATAGTAAACCGTGTTACGCGTTCAGTTACTTCCGGTTTCTAAAAACAAACTGCTGTCTTTTTAGTTAGAACCCAGAGTGGGCAGATGGCGGGGCGGGGCGCAGAGCTGTTCTATAGTACAGCGCACAGTCCTGTGCCGCCAGGAGAGGGCGGGAGAGGTCCGCTGCAGAGCGGCTTCGCAAGACTTTGACCTTGGCAGTTCTGAGTGTTCTGTTTCTCACAGCTTCCCTTACCCTCCCTTACACCTGTTGTTGGGGAGTACACATTCTGTTTTATAGACAGACAGTGAAATTTTAGGCGTTTTCGAAGGCATCTTATTCACTTTGTCCCAACTCCCTGTAGAAATTTATAAACAAAAATGGATATAAAATTACTTCCATCTACAACAAAATGTTGAATTTTAAGACATTTGTGGTCTTGCACTAAATAAACCTCAGACATACCAAATAAAATCTGCCATCATAGGGCTAATCTCCTGAGATGAGACCTCTACTTGCTCATAAATAAACACACTAATTTAATTAGCATTTTTTGGAGTTGATAAGCAGAACCGGCAATGTCATAGATATGGTTAAAAATTAACGATAATATCACTAGGGAAAAGCATGAGACAAATACATAGAGTCAATTTCTAATTTAAAAAAAAATGAGCGAAAGCAATATATCCTCGGGGGAAACGGGGAAGAATTATTTAAGCATATGAGTAAGAGTCAATAATGTCTTTCATCTTTTACGTGTGAGGGAACAGAGCGGGTGAAGGGAGGGAAAACCTTGAAGGGCATCGTGGAACTCTCTCCACGGCAACATTTCGAGGTGTAGTTACGAAAAGTAAAACTCAGCTCAAAGAGACGCATTCGTCAACTGAAGGCGAAACTGACATTCTTTTAAGGATGGTTAAACCTGTGCGAGACGAGGAGCCCACCAAGTGATGGTGCCCCGTTTAGCCCTTGACATTTCAGTACTGCAAATGAAGCCCTGGCACGTTGCCTTTAGAAGTCGTTCCCTAATTACACACCCGTCTGACTCATGGAAATTGTGGAAGGATTATATTTAGTCTGCTG